TTTAGCTTGGGAAATATACAAAAGAACGTTAGTATGTACCTGTGTGTATAAATGTTTGTGCGTAAGCGTGTGTGGATGTGTAACACATAATGTTCCCTTAGAGTTTCACTCCTGTATCAGTCATCAAGATAGTTGCTGGGTATTGTTGCAGCAGTTATTTCATTTTGCATCTCTGGGTGTGTGTTCCTCCCTTTGTTTGTGTTAAGGGAAAAAAACGTGCATGTCAGATTTTAGTGCCTCTGATCTTACCTAACACATGTGCATTTGCGAGAGTGTGCGTGCACGTGTGTGTTAGCAGTGAGTGGTGAAGTCATGTTTGTGTCTGTGCTGTCCAAGCTGATGTTTAAACAGATGTTGACAGAGTGTTCCACAGGATTGTGTTCCTAAAACACCACTTATGAAATAGGAAAACTTTACTTATTCCTGTTACTGCTACTATCTGCTTCTTACTGCTTCTGCTACTTTTACAGCTATTACTAGTTGTAAAAGATTAAGTGGATTAAGTGAAGCACCGTGGATACTTTCTGGGTGCACTGTATAACATAAAAAGAAGCTAAAGGCTAGACAAGTTTGTGAAAACATCATCTACATCTTTAATCTCTGCAGCACTCCAGCTTGTCATAATGAACACGTTGTTGAGATTCTTCCATCTTTAACACATCTTCAACAAATATCAGTCTGCAGGATTTTTCAAGTTGAAATAATGACCCAGTAGTCATGAGACATGTGAAACACTGCACAAATACAGCGAGAGTGTACATAAGAACCATGGAAACCAGGGTGGAAGAAATGAGAGAAGAGGGGGGCTGAAGAGAAGGCTGTTTGGGGTAAAGACAAGTTGGGTGCTCTATCACCAGGTCCATTAAGCACTTCCTGCATTGGAAAACGTGGTATGGATTCAGAGTGCCAAAAATGCATCAGCCTTGTTTACTTAACTAAGACTAGAGTGATGAAGGTGTTGCTGCAGAAGAATCTAACAAAAAAATGCTGGATCAGTTCACACATAATAGACTGTTTGCTCAGATTTTGCCTTGATGCGTCTGCTCTGCCATTCAGTAACAAGGTATGTTGGTCAATCAAATAAAGGCTGGGCATATTCCAAGGGCCTGTGCATACAGAGACACATTTGATTATACTTGCATTTGATTATTGAATCTTTTTATTGTAACACACCAACATCACTGCAGTTTCTGGGCACCAGTGAAAGATCATTACCATTATATTGTCTACATCTATTCTAGTCTTGGGAACATTGTTTCCTTACTTTTCATCCAACAAAAAGGATGTCAGGCTCACCTGCAGTTGAACTTGGTGCTGATAGGTTGGTGTTAGGATGCTAACATCTAAACTGATGTGCTGGTTGCAGTGAACGTTAGGATGTTAGCATTGCTAGTCATTGCGAACACGTTGCATGATTATTGGCTGTAGATTGTGTTGTTGTTGGGTTATAACAAATTGAAAGCCATTGCTGGCTGTGACCCACTAATTCTTATAAACGGGCACTTTAGAGGTATCACACTAGATCCTGTTCCTTATCTGTAAATGGCTTTTTTGGGGTCTCCTGATAATGTCATGTATTTTTTCCATGGTTTGCCTTTTGGTATGTTACACAGTGGGTTTATTTTGTGCGATAGTTTTGAATCAGAGTGACAGACAAAGAAGAAAAGCAATAGTGAAGACTGGCACAGCAGACGGACCTTGACACAGGAGGGTGTGCTGCTGGAATATTCAACGTGGCTGAGGTCATCTGTCTCCTGTAATGGATGAAGGTCTTTCCATAATGATGTCTTCATTTGAATAATGTCCAGATTTCCCTCGGTGGGAGTTGCTGTAACTTGGTAGTAGCTGTCTGCTGTTGAAGCCACTTCCTAATGGTGTCTTCCACTGGCTCTAGTCATCAGTAAAGGGATGTTATCGATCATGTCGACTCTCCTTCTTCACCTAACTTTCACAATGTTGATATAATCAGTGCTAGTGTGCAGCTGTTTTTGTGCTTCTCTGTAACATGTTTTTAATTGTTTTGGTTTTTTTACTCCATTCAACAAAATTTGAAGTTTTATATCACATCGTTTCCCTTTAATCTGCCATGAAAGTCGTTGTTATATTTTAGAATCACTGCCTTCCATTTGTCCAAAAAGTATCCATGCTGAGACTGATGAGGTATGTATCTACACTTAGTATGCACGAGCAGACTAAATGGACTGTTGAAAGCACTTCGTCCTATGGCTCAAAAAACAAAGCTAACACTACAGTTCACCCCTGAATCCTCAGCCAACACGGCACCACAGGCCCTGCCAAGGTTGACAGAGAATGGAAGAGCAGTAGAGGCGTTCCTCGCAGAGACAGAGAGGGGGCACAAGGGACGGGGGGTAGTGGAGGGGAGTCTCTTGATTAAGATTTATGTCTAAATTTTCCTGTTCTAGCAGCCGTTGCCTGCTGTTGGATAAGCTCCCTTACACACCCCTCTTCTTTGCTGTGTTGATAGAAGGGCTTCTAGTAAATGTGTTTCATGACAAAGCCTTTTGCCCTTCATGTTACTCCCCTTTACTCTGGATTCCCAGAAGCTGCAGGGCAGTGGGACATCGGGAAATCAAATAAATCTTTGTGCTTCAAGTTTGTTTTCATACATTAATGCACGTAATCACAAAGATTGTGTGATTGGTCTGTGAGCACTCCCAAAACACGCAGGACATAAAGCTGACAACAGCTTCCTGAGGAGCTCTGCTAACATGCTGCTCATGCTAAGCCTTCTGTGTAGTAATCCTGCAGCTTTGGATTATATAAGCCACCTATACTGGTTACTTTGAATCATGCATATGTTGCTGGTCTCCCAAAAGTAGATCTGTTTAGACAAGTTCAGTGATAAAGCCACCAAAATCACAAAGTTAAAGTAGAAAACAGGACTTTTGATCAAAGAACAGAATTCCTGCAGATGGAATTCTGTTAATTACTTGAAAACTCGTGTCTGTTGGAAACCTGTTAAACTGCACACACGCTGGAAGTGACTTCAGGCAAAATAAGTATGGGCCATGAGAAGTGGGTGAGACCCGTGATTGATGAGCGGATGATGCGACTACCAGTGAGAGAGAAGATTGTTGATTGACATATGACCTCTCTAGTAAATACATTAGAGGGTCACCTAGGCAACCGTGATGAAGGGATGAATGGGACTGAAAGGTGAAAGAAAAGAAACCTACAGTTTTTGAAAAAGCAGCAACTTTCATTGCACAAAGAATATACCTGAGTAACTGTACCTGAGTTATTGTGTTGAAGTATGGGGGAATACATATGTGACTAATATGAAACCATTATATTTATTACAGAAGAGAGCGATTCGAATTATGCATAATGTTAAATATAGAGAACACACTAATAGTTTGTTTATAAAATCGAAATGATTAAAACTAGAAGACATAGCGAAATTACAGACATTAACTATTATGTTTAGGGCAAAAAATAAAACACTACCTCTTAAGTTACAAAGTTTATATGTATTGTGTTCAGAAAATGGGGACGGCAGAAGGAAGTTTTATTTTAAGCACCGGTTTGCTCGAACCACACAAAGGCAAATGTGTCCAACAGTCACAGGCATAAGAAACGGGAATTCTCTCAGTGATCATCTTAAGTGTTGCACAAATGTTTCTCAATTTAAAATCTGCTATAAGAATAAAATGATAAACCAATATGAAGAAGTTGAAAATAATAGAATTTAATTGTAGAAAAATGATCCTTTTAGTTTGAGATTTAGTGGTGTTGCTCATTGTTGAGTATTTTGTTCTGTTTGCTTTGTTTTGTTTTGTTATGTGCAGAATATTGTCAGAGTGTAATTTTGGTTGTAAGTGCCTACTTGTATTAT